AATTCCACATTTCTGGTTAAGATTTGGACCAATTTAGCAAATCCAGGCCATTAGTTAGTGAATAACCAATTAGGCATCTCTTGTTTTTCTTACAGCATGCAGCAAAAATTTCCTCTGCTCCTCATCCTCTTCCTTGCATCTCTTTTTCCCTTTGGAAATAAACACAATTACTGGGAATCATTGGGAGTGGGCCCATTTAATGATATCTTAGATAATTCTTCTGTAAAGTGCAAATTTAATTTTGGTGCAAGCCTTTCTTTAATACATTCCCTTCAGTATTTAATAATTGATGGTGCTGGTGGGAAGATGAACCTCAGTTTCTTGGGGTTTAGGAAGCATCACCACCTCAGCTCCGTGATCCCAGAAAATTCCTGAAAGATTTGATGGTGTCTGTGCCTGAGTGGAAATTCAGAGAGTGGCTTTTTCTCAAGACAGCAAGAGGTATTTTACTGCAGAAAGATTGTGTGGCTATTTTTAGTCCTGGGTACTGGTGAGGTGGAACAGAATATTTTTAGAGCTGTAGAAAATGCAGCCACTCAAGCTGGGTTCTTTTTTTCACACTGGTGCTGGAGGGGTTTTCCAAAATAAAGAGCAGAATTAGTAGAAAATGGCTTTTCTGTATAATTTTTATTTATGAAATAGGTGATCTGTGGATATACATATATAGTTTTATATATATATATATATATAGACATACTTATACAGTGTGTATATATTTTTATATATAGTTTATAATTTATTATTTATATTTATTTGTTCCTATACGATTTTAATTGGTTTGACCCTTTGAATACCATCTCTTAAAAGAGTTTTCCCTCAAATTTTGAAAACTTTTTACCTCAGTGAAGTATTTTAAGGAAATCCACAACCAGCAGGGCATAACTTTGTCCCTCTGTTAATCTGTACCAATCCTGGATCATTCCTGGAGTGAGGTAAGCCTGGAATAATTCAGGAAATGGTGGTGAAATTAGGAAAAGAAAAGTTTGGCAGAAGAAATTCTGTAACTTTTTAGGCATTTTGACTTTTCCAAACTCTGTTGCATTCACAGTGCAAAAGAAAATGTTTTAATATTTAATAAATCATAGTTCTGGAAAAGAAACAACGAACCCAACCCCCCAAAAACATTCCTGGCATCTTTCTGAAGAATGTCCATATTAACTCTGTTGTCATGGCTTGATTCCAGCTTTATTGGATTATAAATTCTATTTCCATCCTCTTGGTTTTCAATTGCAGATCTATTTTTACCTTTCTTTTGTTAAATAATAATCATTGCTTGTAGGGCACAGTTGTGTTTGTAGCCATCAGAAATTTTTTTTTTTTTGTCTAAAACTGTATTTTCCTAGTTTTAATCATCCTCCAGAACTTGTAAAAGTAAATTATGTGCTTGATTTGCCAGGATCTGTTTGGTGTTTTAAACACAGCAGATACACCAGATGAATTAACAGAAATCTGTCAGCTTTTCTGCACCCTGCAATTCCAAATTCCCAATGCTCCTGCCTTAGAGAATCTCAGATCTTTGGGAATAGAGGAGTTGGAGCCAGAGATAAACACAGAAATTTGGTTTTTAGGGGAAAAGCTGCTCAGTGTTTAATGTGGTTTGGTGGGATCTTCACGCATCATTTGTAGGGTAAGCAGATCTGGAAGGACGAGATGTGGGCATGAAAAGATGACAAGGGAGAAGATTAGAGAAAACCACCAAGAAAAATCAGATTTTGTCTCTTTTTTGGGTGCAGCTGCACATGCAAGGGGCAGAGTTGTATCCTGGGAGTAGCTGAGGAGCCTGCCCATAGCTCAGCTGTAGTTTGGGGGAGCTCCCTGCCTGCCTGTGCCTGCTCTGCTCCGTCTGTCAGGAGTTTGGAAATATTTTGATTGCCTTTTGGAGCATCTTTGCCTAATTAGCAGGTTTTTTTTTTTTTTTCCCCTTCCCTCTCTGCAATCTGGCAGTCACAGCGAGGGCTGCACACAGAGCAGGGCTGGGGAGCAGGGGAGGCAGAGCTGCTCTCCAGGGAATGCTGCAGCCCTGGGATCAGGCATCCAGCAGGGAGCAGGGTTTGCTCACAGGCAGTGGGACACAGTCAGGGAGCACACAATTCCAGGAGGGTTTGGGTTGGGAGGCAGCTGAAATCCCATCCCCAACCTGTGGATCCCATCCCATGGATCCCATGGATCCCATCCCATCCCATGGATCCCATTCCATCCCATCCTATCCCATGGATCCCGTCCCATCCCATGGATCCCATCCCACCTCCATCTCATGGATCCCATCCCATCCCATGGATCCCATCCCATCCCCATCCCATGGATCCCATGCCATGGATCACATCCCCCATGGAATCCCCATCCCATGGATCCCATGGATCCCATGCCATGGATCCCATCCCATCTCCATCTCATGGATCCCATCCCATCCCATGGATCCCATCCCATCCCATCTCCATCTCCACACCTTCCACTATCCCAGGGTGTTCCAAGCCTTCACTTGGACATTCCAGGGAGCTTCTCTGGGAATTCCATCCCAGCCCCTCAGAGTTTCTCTGGGAATTCCACCCCAGCCCCTCCCCACGGTCCCAGGGAGGAATTCTTTCCCAAATCCCATCTAACCCCACTTCCTGGCCATTTAAACCCATCCCCCTGTCCTGTCAGTCCCTTTCCAAGTCTCCCCTTTGAGGCTGCAGCAGTATTTGTACAAAAGACACTGAAAACACAAAAAAACCCCAAATCTCGAGAGGAAACGTCAGAGGCCTTTTTGAATTTGGGTTTTGCTTCAGGCAGAGGCTGTTTTCTGTCCTGGCACGGCTCCTGAGGAGAGCTGGAGTAGGGAAAGCTCCCGTGGCAGCTCTCAGGGATGTCCTTCCACGTTTTCTCCCAAATAAATGTATGAATGTTTTAATTTGACCAATGCTACAGCTGGATGTTAGGAAGTATTTCTTTCCTGGGAGAGTGGTTAAGTATTGAAACAGCTTCCCCAGGGAAGTGTGGAATCGCCATCCCTGGAAGGGCTTAAAAATCCAATTTTGGTTTCATTGGCAAGGTGCTGTTCAGTCGGGAGTTGAACCTGGTGAACTTCGAGGTCTTTTCCAACCTTAGTAACTCAGTGATTCTATGAACGTGGAAGTTCAAACCCCACTTTTCATATCACTGTTTAGTAAAAATAAATCTCTTATCAACATGAGCAGAGGAAAAAGGATTGAATTTCAGAACCTTTGGTCCAAACTTTGTCACAGTTTTCCTGCTGCACACAATTCCAGTTCTCCCTGTTTGCCCATTTCCCTGCTGGATTCCCTAAATTTGAGCTGCTGCAAAAAAGATGGGCAAGGGAAAACTTGGGAAATCCAAGGAATTTTGGTAGCTGCTGGTTGGCTTCTCTGGATAATTGAGCTTTAAATGAAGGTGGCATTAGTTAAATAGGCAGCAGTTTTTAATTAGTGAAGTGCTGGAGTTCACACCAAAGGTTCCCAAAAACCTTCCAGAACTTTTCTAATAAAGCCAAAGTTGACAATTTCCAGGCTAAAGCAAATAATCCCTGGGAGAAAAACCAACCCAGCAGAAAAATCCATGGAAAAGCAGGAAATAACAACTGGAATTCCCTCATTTCTCTGCAGTGCATGAGCTTGGCTAATTCAGCTTTTGTTAATTAGAGTTTGTAATTGTGATCTTGCCATTTATAGCTAAAAATAGGTGTCAAATTCTATGGAAGAGCAAATGTGAGAGCAGATTTTCATTGTTAATTGTATACATTGTGTCTGTTTCCTGCAGACATTGTGCTAGCGGGGAGGAAACGTATGCATTTCAAAATCTGAGTTATTTATAAAACTTAATTCTTTCTCAAAGATCCCAAACAGCAGCTTCATGTCCCCGTTCCTGCTCGTGCACAACAGCAACTAATGGGATGAATGAAGGATTTTGGAGCAGTGTGATGCAGGAAAGATAAAAAAATGGAATTTTGGGAGGTTCCTACTGTAATATTTACACTCAGTGTCTTTGCTATTGTTGGTTCCAACCCACCACACGCTGCTTGGAACAAAATCTCAGTTCTCACCCTGAAATATTCACTCAGCTGTCACTCAGGGATGAGTCAAGAATGCATTATAGTAAACCAAAAAATGGGAAATTTATTCAGTGTTCAGTGCACAAATAATTGTATTGATTTATTCAGAATATTTATATTATATAATATTTATTCAGAACGTACAAATTTATTCAGATGTTTATTCAGAATGTACAAAATCATGAAGAATAATGAGATTGAAGTGCAACTTCCAGGCAGCTTTTCATTCAGTGTGTGTTGGTGTGTGCAATCATTCTCTGGGGAGATGATGCTTTCTTTCAATTTATTCTTTAAAAAACCTTTTTCATTGCTGCAGTGGCCCTGTGAAAGGCTGTGTTTTAGCTCAAACCACTATTTTAGGGATTTTTAACATTACTTTCCAGCAGGAGCATTTTACTCTTGAGCACTGTTTGGTTCTGGAGCGCTGTGGCACAGGCTAGAAAGGCTTTAAAATCAGATTTTACCGCTGCAGATCTCACGAGTTCTTGGCTTATTCTGGATATATTTGGTGCATTGAAGTCCAAAAAGGCTCAGAGTGAAATGTGAGATGTCCCACATTTGTGTTGTGTGCTGCCCCTCCGTGAACTTTGACAGGCCGAGCCCGATCTGGTGCGTGGAGGGAAATAAAAAAAGTGATTGATGAGAAATCCTCAGATGTATTTATATTTCATGTCAGGGCACGTTTGACATGAAATTACAGCGATAAAAAGCCTTGATTTGCCTCAGCTCTGCTGTTATCTCCAGCCCTATTTTAATGCACACTTTATAGGCACATAAAGTTTGTTCATTGTATTTTTATTTACAGGAGGCTTCCAATGGCAACTTCCTCAAAAGCTCTTCGGAGCCAGATGTGTCTGATGCTGCTGAAGTTTTAAAAAACGTGTGTTCTGCCTTGATTTAATGATTTCCTGATTGTCCTGGCTGCTTTTTGATGCTCTCTGCTCTCTTGCAGCCTCAGATAACAGCCAGAGGTTTCGGGAAACCTGCTTTGCCTTCGCGCTGACGCCGCAGCAAGTGCAGCAGATCAGCAGCTCCATGTGAGTGGGCTCCAGCAGCCCTGAAATCCCAAGAATCCACCCCAAATCCACGCAGCTTTCCACAGCCCTGCTTGGGAATGGCAGGGGAGAACTCCTCTGGGGGGTTTGTTAGTGTTGTTGTGTGGGGAGGAGAGGATTCAGCCCCTCCACTGAGGTTGGGCTGGGTTTCTCTGCTGTTAAGCTCCCTGTAAATCCAGAATTCTGCTTCCTGCAGCTCTTCCTTGCCACCAGTTTCTCTGTTCATTCGTTATAAAGTTGTGACTTTATGGTGGCCCATCAGAATTTGTTTTTCTAATATACGAAAAACCAAAAATCTCCCAAAAAAACCCCACAAAAACAGCCCATAAAACACATAACCCCCCAAAAGAAAAAACAACAAACAAAAACCAAAACAAACAACCGCCAAAAACCAGCAAAAAATCCCAACAAACAAACAAAAACCACCCCAAAAACCCCCAAAAAACCAACAAAAAACCAAAAAAATAAATCCCCCACAAACTGACAAAAAAAACCCTCAAATAAAAACCCCCACAAAAATAGAGGTCAGACACAAATTTATTTCTTTACCTCAAAAAATAAAAACTCTTAACCCCTCTTGAGAGGGGTGGTTTGAGCAGGAGCAGCAAAGTCTGGTGTGCATTATACCTACCTGAAAGTGTGAATTTTCCATTTTTTGTGTAAAAACTAAATGTTTTCCATAAATTGGAAACTTCTAGCAAACTCCTGAGGAATCTTGTGAACAGCAGGATATTTTAATCCATTTTCTCTTGTTTCCAGGGATATTTCTGGGACCAAATGTGACTTCACAGTACAGGTCCAGCTAAGGTAGGGATTTTGTTGCCTGTTGGTTTTTAGGATTGATCAGCTAGGTCCTTCCCAGGTTGGGAATTCCTGGATGGAAAAGAGCTGTTTTTCCTGATCCTGGTTGGTTTTTTTTTTTGTCAGTGAATCCTTCCTGTAGCTCCACCTTGGTCATTCCATGTCCTGGGGCTGGAAAATCCATGAGCAGGGAGGGTTGTTTTTCTTAGCATGGGTATTCCAAGATCTGCTTCTTTAGGTGCTTTGGAAATCACCAGCCTGGTGAATTTTGGGGTTTCTAATAAAATATAAACGGATTAAATCCTCTGTCTCAGCCAGGTGGGGTGGGATGGACCAAGGATGAGGAGAGAATGAACAAACCCCTCTTGGATTGTCCATGGGCAGGTCCCTGGAAGGAGCCCAGGGCAGCTGAGAGGTTCTGCTGCTCTTGGAATGCTCAGTGTCCTGCTGGCAGCAGGAAAGGTGTGTCCTGCTGGGATCCAGCAGCAAAAACACCTCTTTGAACTGGAAAGAAATAAATCCAACAGCAGAAACTGCCTGGAAGTGCAGCTGGGACGGGGGAAATGTCATTTGTAACACCTTGGTGTTGTGTGGAGAGGTCAGGCTGGAGAAGAGGCAGAGAAGAAATTGGGGGTGGGATGAGTCAGGCTGAGGAATTCAAGGAATCCGAGGAGGAACCTCCAGGCTGCTTGAAGCACTGTGGTTTTGGGGGGTTTCCCTGCTCAGTGACATCAGTGTTTAGCAAGATCTGTCATGATTTCAGAGCTCAGTGGAAAAATAATTCCTTCTAGGAAGAGATGGTCATTAAATCACTGTAAAAGTGAAAGATGATGGCAGCTCTTTGCTTTTAGGTTTTGTTTATCAGAAACCAGTTGTCCACAAGAAGATCACTTCCCACCCAATCTGTGTGTGAAAGTCAATGGGAAACCATGCAGCCTTCCAGTAAGTAAAATCTGCTTTTAATATTCATTTTGGGATGCATTATTGGGAATTTTCTGCCTGAAAATTTATCCCAATCTTTTTTTTTTTCACATTCTGGAGAATTGGAATGAACAGAAAAGATCAAGTAGTTTGTTTTAGCCAGTAGATCCAGAAGTTCAAGATGACATATTTAGTAACGCTAACATAAGCAGAGAAAAGAAGGATTGAATTTTAGAAACTCTGGTCCAAAGTTTGGGGGTTTTTGTTTAGTTTTGCTGAGACAGGAGAGGTGGCAAAGTTCCCTTTGATTCTGTGGGCAGGGTTAGGATTTTGGATTTCCATCAGGAGAAGGAGCTTCTAAAATGCTCAATATTTTATTGTCTGATCCCTCTCTCTTTGAACTAAACACAGAGCCTGGTCCAGCTGTATTGGGAGGGACAGGACACAAAAGCACTGTGGGATTCTTTTTTCTGAGAGCTGAAATTTTGGTTTTCAGGGCTACCTGCCACCAACCAAAAACGGTGTTGAACCAAAGCGCCCCAGCCGACCAATCAACATTACCTCACTCGTCCGTCTGTCCACCACGGTCCCCAACACCATCGTCGTGTCCTGGACTGCAGAGATTGGCAGGGTGAGTGCCTCTGGGGTCTCTTCTGTCTGCTTTAGAGGTAATCCTGGCAGGAAAAAAAAAATCCTTGCTGGGGTGGCCACGGATGTTCTTGTTCAGCTGGAATTCGGCGCTGCTGGCCGGGCGGGATGTGCTCCCTCAGATCCCTCCCTCACCTTCGGGGTGGGATCTCTACCTCCTCATCTTTGTGACTCAGGGAGGGCCAGATAAAGAGATCAAGGCATCCTCTAAGCCTTTTGTTTGTTGATTTGGCCAAACTTCAGACTTTGAAGCTCTTCCTGACTGCAGGGACTTGACAAAGCTTGGCTTGGATTTGCAAGGAGCGGGTGCCATCGAGCCCAGAGTGGCCCTTTGGAGCTGTGAGTGTGGACACAAAACACTGATTCCATTGACCTTTTTTACATTTCTCCCAGCTGTTCTCCTTATTCTTCACATTTAAAACCTCGTGGTTTTATAATTTTTTTGTGTCTGTGGGGAGAAGGTTACTACCGGTGTCAGAAAATCGCTGATGTTCCACCGGGCTAATGAAATCTGGAACATGCTGCAAAAAGTAACTTCAATAAATCAGCCATGAATTACTGAGCTGGCACCAAAGCTGCTGGGTGGGCATTCCAGAGGCACCGTGTGCTGCTGCCACTGCCCCCATCCTGTTTTCAGAAGTGCCCAGAATTGTCCTGAGGTGAAACTTTGGCCAAGAATTTGTCAGCGTGCAAAGCCCAGCGTGGAAAAATGCTTACACTCCAGTCAGGGACAATGGGCAGCTCTGAAACACCAGGGTGGGATTTCGTGGTGGATTTCTTGTGGAGAGAAAACAATCTCCATTCAGATGATGGCATAAAGGATGGCTGAGTGATTCTGGGCCAAAAAAATCCTCTTTTATCTAATGAGAGCTGCAGGTATCAGAAAGAAGCAGTTCCAAATCAGCCGGCTTGGGTGAAGTGCAAGTGGGTGAGTCCCAGATGCTGCTCTGAGGGATTCACAATTCAGGATTTAGGGATAAGAAGTGCCCCAAGTTTGAGTCAGTCCCTTGGGAACTGGCTGGTTCTCAGGTTTCACAGATTAATCAGTTATAAAGAACATTTTGGGGAACTTCTGGCATAAATAAGCATTAGATGTAGAACTGTAGGACAGGGCTTGGAGCAGCCTGGGACAGGGAAAGGTGTCCCTGCCCATGGCAGGGGTGGAATAGGATGGGATTTAAGATCCCTTCCAACCCAAACCATCCTGGAATTCTATGAAAAACAATCCTTCCTAAATAGATTCTTTAAGACACACCCCTTCCTCAATTGATTCTTTAACACAGTCCTTCCTAAACAGATTCTTTAAGACACAGCCTTTCCTAATTTGACTCTTTGAGACTTTGACAGTGAAATGTGAAGAATTATTTTATATTTGGCTGTGCCTGTGTAGCACAAAATCTGAGTTCCCCTCTCCCCCTTCCCTCAAGAGTCAGTTCTGGTCCCAACTGTGCTCCCTACCTTTGCTGGAGTCCTCACTGTGATTTTTACACAATCTGTTTCAAGAGCCTTCTGTACAAGATGCCTTGGGCAAGTTCCTGCCTTTGTAGATTCAAGCTGTCGGTAAATAATTTCACAACGTTAATTAGCATTTTTCTAACTCCTCTCCTAATTGAGGCATTAAACAAACAAGTTAAGGCAGTAGTGGTTTTTAACGATGTGAGAAGCATTCATTGTGAGAATAAAATATTTAAAATGTGGTGTTTCTGATGCTGCTCCACTTGGTGTGATTTTGTGGTGAGATATATCACTGAGATCCTGCCTTCAGATCCTAAATAAAGGACAGGGGCTGTCACAATTACATGGATTTTTTTCAAGTGGAAACGTGTGGCAGTTGCTGAGGGAAGCCTTTTCTTTTTCAATTTAAATTGTATGAACACAGCTCCAGGTTTAGCCAACGTTCAAATCAAAAAATAATTGATGCACCCTAATGTGAGAACATGGATTTGGTCCTTTCCATTCTGGAGACTGGAGAGGTGTTGCTGCTGAGTCACATTTTTAGAAAGACATAACCTGATTTTTTTTTGAGATTATGAGAAAAATGAGAGCTTCAGAAATCCCAGGAATTTGGGCTCCATGTCAGGAAGAGTTCATTCCATGAGGGAAGGTTCACCTGACTTGTGGGACTTGACAGAGTTGGGTTCTGCCTCTGAGCTGCTGTGGTGATGAAATTCACATTTCAGAGACAATTGAGGGCAGGAGTAGAAGAAAAAGATGGCTTCCAGATATTGCAGGTGATGCATCTTGGGAAGAGGCATCGCTGCTCATTTTCCTGTTTTGAAAACAAAATAGGCTTTTATTAAAAAAAAAAAGAAAAAAATTCTGATTATATTTGACCTGACAGCTTTCCTTAAATGCACTGACACCAGTGCAGTGCTGAACATTATCCATGTAAAATTAAATATACTGACAGCAGTGCAGTGCTGAACATTATCCATATAAAATTAAACCACTGACACCCAGTGCAGTGCTGAATATTATCCATATAAAATTCAATGTACTGACACCAGTGGAGTGCTGAATATTATCAATATAAAATTAAATATACTGACACCAGTGTAGTGCTGGACATTATTTGTATAAAATTAAATATACTGACACAAGTGTGATGCTGAACATTATCCATGTAAAATTCAGTGTACTGGCACAAGCGTAGTACTGAATATTGTCAATATAAAATTGAAGCAGCTCTCCTCCATGGTGCCCTGCAATCCCATAGCAGACTGTTACGTGCTGCAGACAGGGATTTTCCTGGATGTTTTGGGATTTTCTCTGATGTTTTTGGGGTTTTTCACAAGCAGCTCTCCTCAGCAGTGCCCTGCAATCCCATAACAAACTGTTACGTGCTGCAGACAGGGATTTTCCCTGATGTTTTGGGGGGTTTCCCCTGCTGTTTTGGGGGGTTTCCCTGATGTTTTTGGGGTTTTCCCCGATGTTCTTGGTATTTTCTCTGATGTTTTTGGGTTTTCTGTGATATTCTGTGGTGTTTTCCAGAGCTATTCCATGGCAGTGTACCTGGTGAAGCAGCTCTCCTTCACAGCGCCCTGCAATCCCATAACAAAACGTTGCATGCTGCAGACAGGGTTTTCCCTGATGTTTTTAGGGTTTTCCCCGATGTTCTTGGTATTTTCTCTGATGTTTTTGGGTTTTCTCTGATATTCTGTGGTGTTTTCCAGAGCTATTCCATGGCAGTGTACCCGGTGAAGCAGCTCTCCCTCCACAGCGCCCTGCAATCCCATAACAAAACGTTGCATGCTGCAGACAGGGTTTTCCCTGATGTTTTTGGGTTTTCTCTGATATTCTGTGGTGTTTTCCAGAACTATTCCATGGCAGTGTACCTGGTGAAGCAGCTCTCCTCCACGGTGCTCCTGCAGCGGTTGCGGGCCAAGGGAATCCGGAACCCGGATCACTCCAGAGCACTGAGTATGTGTCCGTTTCCTTTTGTAAAAGGATAAAAAAAATCACTTTTGTGAGGGGAGATTTGGAGTTAGGACTGTGCTAACCAAGCTTTGGACTTCCTACAGCCCTCTGGGCTTTGGGAATGTGATAGTGGTGTTCTTTGTGTTCAGCTCCAATTCAAAGACTCAGAGCCTTTGTTTGCACTAGGAGCCGGTCCAGGAACCCTGTTGACACTGTGAGGGGAAAAATGCAAGAGAATCTCTTTCAGCTCAGCCATCCTGGCTTTGTTTGTGCAGAATGGCACAACTGTGCTCTGCAGTCAAGTGGGCATTCAGTGAAAACCTCAGGAGAAGAAATTGGTGGAAGTTTGTGGTACAAAAACGGCGAAAACTGCTGCGGGTTTGGTTTTCAGGGAGAGGGGAAAATCCCAGCACCTGATCCATGTAAAATTACTCTTTAATTAATGCTCACATCAGGGGTTGTACCTTCTACAGAGGGGAAGAAATGAGTGCAGCAGTAAAAAATAGTGCAGAATGGCACAAGTGTGTTTTACAGTGAAGTGGGCTGGAGGCCTCACCCTGGGCCTGGCCTGGGCAGGAGCAGCTCCACCGTGAGCATTTTCTGCCCCAAATTGTGGGGTGAGCCTGGGGAAAGTGCCCAGCACAGAGCCCCTCCTCACTCCAGAGTGAATTTGCTGCCTTTCTGTTTCCTCTGACAACAAATGAGTGGAAATTTATGGCATAAAACCAGCAAAAGCTGCTGTGGGTTTGGTTTTCATGGAGGGGAGGAAATCCCAGCACCTGATAGTGGTGTTATTACTCTTTAATTAATGCTCACATCAGGGGTTGTACCTTCTGCAGAAGGGAAGAAATTAGTACAGCACTAAAAATGGTGCAGAATGGCACAAGTTTTACAGTGTTGTACAGTGAAATGGGCACTCAGCACCTCAGGGCTGAAGCCTCCCTCTGGGCCTGGGCATTTCTGTCCCCAAATTGTGGGGTGAGCCCGGGGAAAGTGCCCAGCACAGAGCCCCTCCTCACCACAGGGTGAATTTGCTGCCATTCTGTTTCCTCTGACAACAAATTGGAGGAAGTTTGTGGCATAAAAACAGCAAAAACTGCTGCAGATTTGGTTTTCAGGGAGAGGGGAAATCCCAGCACCTGATCCATGTAAAATTACTCTTTAATTAATGCTCACATCAGGTGTTGTACCTTCTACAAAAGGGAAGAAATGAGAGCAGCGCTACATAATAATGCTGGGCATTAATTTGTCTTAATGCAGTTTGATGATTTATGCACAAAATGCATAAAAAATGCACACAAATCTATGGCTTAATGCACAATGTGCACAAATATCTACAAAGTTCCTTCCAGGTAGCTGCTGCTCTGCAAGGTGAGGATGAAGGTGTAGGTCCAGTTCTTAAGCAAGAATAAAATCAGTCTGACTTGTTAATTTTACCAATGAGTGCTCATGAAACAGGCCTTGTAAATAAAAATAGAGGATGAAAAACTCCAGAAATTGAAGAAGTCAGTATTTCACTGCAGTTATTTAAATCTCAGATTTTGCCAGGGTGCTGCCTATTGCTCCATTTGCTTTTCAGTTTGAAGTCACTTGATGAGGATTTTGGGGGTTTATTGTGGTGTCTGTCCATGTGAGAGTTGTTAACAAGTTTAGCTTGGAGTTGGAAGTGAAATTAATGTGATATTAAATATTAAATAATGGTCAGTATAAATAATATAAAGTTGCATGCAAAGGAGTTAAGCTATCTCTGGAGAAACAAGTTTTAGGGGTCTTGAATTCAAAGTTTACCACACCTTTTCAGATTTATTTTATTTCTTTCTCATGCAATTCATGTTTGAATTTACCTAAAATAAACCTTTTCTTCTTTCAAATACCAGTTAAAGAGAAACTAACTGCTGATCCAGACAGTGAAATAGCAACAACCAGCCTAAGAGTGTCTCTTCTTTGTCCAGTAAGTTGATTTTTTATTCTCTCAAAAGTGATTCTGATGGAAATGTGGCTGTTGTGGTGGAAATTACCTCGTGTTTACCTGGTAAAACTTCGTGGGGACAGGGAACAGCTGAAGTTATCTCTGTGCTGAAAAGCTTCTGAAATGCCCCTGGGAAAATGAATATTCCATTAGCTTGGAAATGTTACTCAAAATATATGTAAGCATGCATTTAATGTGTCACTGGATCCTCTGAGAGTGCAGCTTGGGCTTGGAGTGATAAAAACTCTCTGAAAAGGGGAAAAAGGGGGAATCTGATGCTGAAAGCAGCCCAAGGAGGCAGCACCTCCTGGAATTGTGCAAATGCACCCTTGGATTTAATAATCTGAATTTAAAACCAAAGCAGTGTCCTGGAGTTGTTCATGCAAAATGTTTGGATCCAGCAGGAGGTGAGAGGAAATAATTCCAGTGAAAATACAAGTGGCAGAGATCTTGGTGTTCTCGTTGGTTTTTAAGCAAGTAGATGCACTATTTTATACCTGGATTTATGTTACCAGTGATAAATTATTAATAATTTATCATTTTAACATCATGTGTGCACTTCTTTGAATCTTTGGGACTGGTTTCAGGTGCAGGGCACCTTCAGAATATTTGAATTCTTTCTTGATTGGGAGTCCCTTTACTGCAGCACAACTGTTGAAATTCTTACCAAAATTAATCACAGATTAAATTAATGTCTTCAATTCCACCAGATGCACCAAGAGTTATTTAAAATAATTAATTAATGCTTCAGTGTTCCAAAATATGACATGGAAGTTACAGGTTTTTGAGATTATCAATTCTGAGGTTTTAACTCTACAGATCAGGATTTAATTTGGTAGATGAAATCCCTGTACCTTTCCACAGATTCATTTTATCTTCCTTAGAAATTCCTTAACTTCCTCAGTTAGAATCAATGCTGGTATGGAGAAAGGAATAAAACTGAAGATCATGACAATATCACATCTAAAGATCTGTAAGAATAGAATTATATATTTTTTATATATTTATATTTCATTATAAATTTTATTATATTTTTCTTCATTTTTATATCTAAATATATAAATATATACATATGTACTTCATATAAATATAAAGTAACCACAGTTAATTGTGCTTTTTATGAAGCAAAGCTTACACCTCTAAAAGTTGATCTCTTTAGAGTCTAAGAACATATTTAATAACTTGAAAAATAAAATAAGCTCCAATTTTGGAGGAATAAACTCCAGTTTTTCAGAGGGGCTTCTCTGAGCTTGGACTTCAGAGCACATTCAAATTCATGTTCATTTCCCCCTGAAAACACAAAGAAATAAATCCCCAAGCCCTGCAGTTGGACCAAATATTTAACTGAAGAAAAAATTCCAAATCCAGGGCTCTGCTGGAGGTTCTGCAGCTTTGTTTACAAATCCTGAACTCCTGTTTTTAGCAGGGAAAGAGAAATGTTTTGTGTGCTCGTAAAAGAAATTAATGCAGTGTTTTTTTGGCTGCCAACAGGCAGGAATCAGTCCAGTGATGGGAATGCAGCTTTTCCACACTTGGGATATATCCCTGCTTTGGTTTGTTGGGTTTTTTTGGTTTTTTGGGGTTTTTTTGGGTTTTTTTTTGGTTTTTTTGGGTTTTTTTTGGTGCATCCCCGGTTTGGTTTCTTGTTTTTTTGGTGTTTTTTTTTTTTTTTTTGGGGGGGTTTTTTTTTTTTTTTTTGGGGTTTTTTTGGGTTTTTTTTGGTGGCAGAGCTGATCCAGAAGGTTCAGTGCCAAAAAGGGGGGAAAAGCATCAACCTGTGAACTCTTGAGTGTGGTTAAATCCCATCTCAGGCAGAGGTTTTCTACCAAAACCCTGGGAAAAAAAAATCTTCCTGGCTTTTAAATCTGTTTGTTGGTTTTGTTTGTTTGGAGTTTTTGTTTTTTTTTTTTTCCCCTCAGGGACATCACAGGCAGAGGTTTTCTACCAAAACCTTGGGAAAAATCTTCCTGGTTTTTTAATCTGCTTTTTTCCTCTCAGGAGATGGGATTTTATTGTCCTTCCTGCTTCCTGTCTTTGACTTTCCTTATTTTCCTTTTGAAGCATCCAGGTTTTCCTTCTGATGCTCCTGAGCTGGGGGAGTGTTTTTTGTTTATTTTTTTTCCCCTCAGGGACATCACAGGCAGAGGTTTTCTACCAAAACCTTGGGAAAAATCTTCCTGGTTTTTTAATCTGCTTTTTTCCTCTCAGGAGATGGGATTTTATTGTCCTTCCTGCTTCCTGTCTTTGACTTTCCTTATTTTCCTTTTGAAGCATCCAGGTTTTCCTTCTGATGCTCCTGAGCTGGGGGAGTGCCCAAAAATGAAACGAGCCACTGCCCCTGGGAGATGAGAATTCCTGACACACACAGAGCAGGGGGGGAGCTGATTTTGGGATGGGAATAATGTGGTTTTGGAATGGGAGTAATGTGATTTTTGGAATGGGAGGGATGTGATTTTGGAATGGGAGGGATGTGATTTTTTGGGATGGGAAGAACGTGATTTTTGGAATGGGAGGAATGTGATTTTGGGATGGGAATAATGTGCTCGGTCATGGGTTTGGGGGGAGGAGATGCCAAACATTTGGCACCAGAGCATCTCCTGTGGGAATTCTGTGTCCCCAGGGAATTCTGTGTCCCCTCCCAGCTCTGGGGACTGGGTGACAGTGACTGAGAGCCAGAGAGAATTAAGGAAAATAAACGAGGTTTCAGTTCAGAGGGAATAAAAACAAGCCCTCACCATCAGGCTGGAGGAAGTGGTGGCCTGTGAGAGGAGCCTTTGTTTGTGGTGTGGGGTTTGGGTTTGGGATATTCTGGTGCCATCCTGTGGCATCCTCCTTGTACTGCTCAGCATCAGCTGGATTGAGCCACGCTCCCAGAAATTCCACTCCCAGCCCTGGGAGCAGCCAGAGCTGCTCAGGTGCAGCCTTGGGGATGTTTTAGCCAACTCCTGAGTGTGAACAATTCTCCTCCTGATGCCTCGGGTTTAGGTTTTATGTTTTTCAGGTTCTGGGCTGCTTTAGTGGGTGGGTCTGGGCTTCACATTGGGGATGGTGAGCTCTGCACAGAGCAGGGAGACAAAACAATTCCTGCTCCAGCTGGGCACCAAGGACAAATGATCCAAATCTCAGCCCAGGAGCACAAACCCCGTGGAATGAAGAGAGGAAAACAAGGATGGGACTGCAGGGGCTGCAGCTGGAACTGGACACTGAACTGCAATGTGCACATGGAGCAGAGCTGATCCCAGGGACAGACCCCGTGACCATCGTGCATTTTGGGACCATTTGGGTTCATCTTGTGCTGCCCAAGGTGGATCCATGGAGGAGATCCCTGAAATAAATCCCTGTTTTATTCTGTACTCTGCCCAGCCTCTGCTCCAGCTCAGCCTTCCCAAGGCATCACTCCATAAATGACTGTTCTGTTGGGTTTTCATGTGGTGAAAATCCCGTTCACACCTTGCTGCTCTCACCTTTGGTGTGGTCAGTCCAGGCCCCTCCTGAGCTGCAGCAGTGCTTAAACCAAGATAAATGATTCAAATAAACAAAAATACATATTATAGCAGAGCCATCTAACACAAAGCACTCAATAAACAACAAAGTTCAAAGAGTTTCTTTTTTGTTGTACCAAGAGGAGGAAATGTAGGAAATAGTAAAGGTAAGAAGATCTCCAGAAAGCTGTAAAAACAAGCCTTAGAAACAGAAAAAGCAGAGAAAAAAGAACTAACTACAGCTGTAAAATCTGAAAGTAGAAAAGTTACAATAGTATAGCAAGCAAGAACATTTGGGGTTTTTTGAGCGACTGCTGGGGTTTTGTGAGGAGATTTTTTTTACTTCAGATTAAAGTGGAATTCCTTTTGCTATCTGCTTTCCTTTCACTGTAATGATACTTTCATGATAATGAAGGATAATTCTGGTTTTGGTCTATGTAATACATGGAATAATATATAATAATTCTATTTTTGGTCCATCCAGGACACTGCTATTTACAGGTACTCGGTGTATATATGGAGGATGTATTCTTCAGGTTCCTGGACCAAATACAACTCAAAACATGATTTTTATTCACTTTTATGCCATTTCAGACATACAGGAAGGAGGGAACTGTGCATGTGACAAAACTCAGACTCCTGAAAGTTCTTTCTGGAATAAAACTCAACTCATGTCTCTTTTGAGGCAGGAAAGCCCAGGTGGTTAATTTAACACCAAGGTAATAAAATCCTGGTTTTCTTTCTCTTGCAGCTTGGCAAGATGCGCCTGACCATCCCCTGCAGGGCCCTGACCTGCTCCCACCTGCAGTGCTTTGATGCCACTCTCTACATCCAAATGAATGAGAAAAAACCCACCTGGGTGTGCCCCGTGTGTGACAAGAAAGCTCCTTACGAGCACCTCATCATCGATGGGTGAGTACAGCTGAAATCAGAGCCCAGGTGGGATGTTCCTGCCTCAAATTAAGAGGATTTCCCTCCTGTGTGGAGCTGCCCGTGTTGAATTTCCCTGCTGCTGGTCAGGAATTCCTGAGCAGCTCCTTCTCAAGAATTCTGCCCCTTCAAACTCAGCTTGATAACAATGAGAGCAGTTCTCAGTGAATTCCTGAGCTTTCCTTGGTGTGAACAGCACACGTTGTATTTCCTTTTCATGGAGCAGCTGTACAAATGTGGCAGGGCTGATAACAGACAGAGCAAATCAATGGTGCCACCCCTCTGAGTGCCTGCACAATTCCGTGTACAATTTCACACTCAGGGAGTTGCTATCTATAGAAAGTGACACACAGATTGATTCCCTGGCTCTGCCTGTGTGCAAAACACCAAAAAAATAAATAAATCTCACCTCGGGCTGGGCCAAGTGTGGAATTTCTGGGTTTGCATTTTAATTTCTTTAAGAGAGAAATTTTTCTTTTTTTTTTTATATAGAGAGAATAAGTAGAGGTTTCTGAGAATACTCTCAATATAAAAGAAAGCCCAAAAATTGATGAAACACACACACAAAAACCCCAAAAGCAAAGCTGAAAAGCCCCAAGAAACACCAAAATGTTGAAAAACCACCTCATCAACGATGAGTCTTTTAAGGAAGGTGTGTTTTATTTTGCCAGGGAAGGGTGAGGTAACTCAGGGTCCCTTTAGAGCCTTGCAAGAGACACTCAGGCTGTTCTGGACCCCTGCAGCCCCAGATTTCCAGGGAAAAATCTGCCTTGGATCAAAGAGCTGGGGGGCTCCTCCTCGAGGTTTCTGCCTAAACCAGCAAAGCCAAAAACCAGGAATAATGCAAACCCCACGTTTCCCTTATTTCCCCTGGTGCTGCCAGGTGCAGATGTTGGGTCTGATCTAACTGGAGCTTCCCAAAGGGAAAGTTATTTGTGGAAAATGCTCCAATCTGGGAAAGAGGGAGCTAATTAAAGCCAAGCTCTAATTAAAGCCAAGCTCTTCCCTGCAGAACCACATGAATGGCCCTGGTCAGAAGCTGGAATTCCCACTGGCAGTGATGTGCTGCCAGGATCCTAAAATTTTAGGAGATGCCTGTGGGAGAAGAGGCTGCAAATTGAGGTTCCCATGCTCAGCATTCTGTAGAAAGTTTCACAAGGCCTTAAATCCTCAGATTTAAGAGAGGTCTCCTCAGTTAAGTTTTGTCAGGACTTTTTTATCAACTCTGGTTCATAGAATTCCTTTGTTTTGGGAAATGGAGAGTTCTGTGTCACAAGCTCTGCAGGATTCCACTCTCAGTGCTTTTAAATAAAAATCTTCATTTTTGCAGATTTTTATTTTAGGTAATATTTGAATTTTGTCAGTGATTCCTTTTTATCAAGGAGGCAGCTGAGAAAAGAGCAGAACAGTAAAAGCTTCACCACAAATTCAGATTTACACTGACTAATAAAGGGGAAAAAAAGGCACTTTTTTAGGACTGATATGAAATATTTTTATGGGCAGGTTGTTCATGGAGATCCTGAAGTTCTGTACAGATTGTGATGAAATCCAGTTCAAGGAGGATGGGTCCTGGGCTCCCATGAGGTCCAAGAAGGAAGTGCAGGAGGTGACAGCATCCTACAACGGAGTGGATGGTGAGCCATGGCTGGGCTGGGAAGGGCACTCTGGGATCCCCTGTGTTCCTTCACCTCCCAAAACGCTCATTTGTAAACACATTTTTATAGCTTTGATCATTTCTGTTCAGTTAATTGGGTCACACCTGTCTGGGGCTGATGGTGTTTAAAGTCAGCACCATTCTGTGATTATTTTGTTTTTATATGTTGAGTTTTTAACGAGCTGTGTCTGTAGCTGATTGTCCATTCTGCGCAGGATGCATCAGCTCCTCCATGGAACACCAGGTGTCCTCTCACCAACAATCCAACAAAAACAAGAAGGTGGAAGTGATCGACCTGACCATCGACAGCTCCTCAGACGAGGAGGAGGAGGAGCCCTCGGCCAAGAGGAGCTGTCCCTCCATATCCCCAGCATCACCCATGAACAACAAGGGGTGAGCACTGCAGGGCCACTCAGAGAGTCCAGAGTGAACCAGCTCTGGAATCTGCTGGGCTTGGGTTGGAGCCTCCTTTGGTAGCTCTGGGTTCGCTCCCAGCACGAGGCCCGAGGTTGGAATCACAGCTTTGAGTGACATGAAATATTTCTGTTGTGTTTGTGACATGGTGCAGGGGGAAATCACAGCTTTGAGTGAAATGAAATACTTCAGTTGTGTTTGTGACATGGTGCAAGGGAAATCACAGCTTGGAGTGAAATGAAATACTTCAGTTGTGTTTGTGACATGGTGCAAAGGGAAATCACAGCTTTGAGTGTGGAACATCATGAAATATTTCAGTTGTGTTTGTGATTTGGTGCAAAGGGAAATCAAACTTCAAGTGTGGAACATAGTGAAATATTTCAGTTGTGTTTGTGAATTGGTACAAAGGGAAATCAAAACTTCAAGTGTGGAACATCATGAAATATTTCAGTTGTGTTTGTGATTTGGTGCAAAGGGAAATGAAAACTTCAAGTGTGGAACATAATGAAATATTTCAGTTGTGTTTGTGAATTGGTACAAAGGGAAATCAAAACTTCAAGTGTGGAACATCATGAAATATTTCAGTTGTGTTTGTGAATTGGTGCAAAGGGAAATCACAGCTTTGAGTGTGGAGCACCATGAAATATTTCAGTTTGTGTTTGTGAATTGGTACAAAGGGAATCAAAGATTTAAATGTGGAACACAATGAAATAATTCAGTTGTTTGTGAAATGGTGCAAAGGGGAATCACAGCTTTATGTGTGCAACACAGATATTTCTGTTGTGTTTTTGAAATGGTGCAAGGAGAACCACAGTTTTAAGTGTGCAACATAATAAAATAATTCAATTGTTTGTGAATTTGTGCAAATGGAACCACAGCTTTTGAGTGTGGAACACAAAATATTTCAGCTGTATTTGAAAAAAATGAGTGTAAAATGGTGCAAAAGGCACAAAAGTGTGGATTTTGCAGATCTGGGAATGTTTTTCTTCCACGGGGAAACGTGGAAGCAGCAGCCTGGGAGGAGCAGGGCTGTGGGAATAGGGAGTGCCACAAGCACCTGGGCACACCTGAGCAGCCAGGCTGGAAATAGCTCCTGGTTTGCATAAATATTCTGGGATGGAAGCCAGGGATCCTGTGGGGAGTGTTCCTGCTCCACAGTGGGAATGACTCAGTGATCCCTCAGACCCCTCAAGGCCTTTTCCAGCTGGAATCACCCTGCAGGGTGGCAGTGCTGTGGGGTCCTGTGGGGTTTTGGGTTCAGGATTCCTTCAGGATTGTCTTGTCCTTGTTGAAAACACCTGTAACACATTTCCAGAGATCCCAGCACCATTTCTGCTGTTTGGGACTGAGCTTTCCCAAATTCCAGCTGTGCTGGACTGAAGGGATGTTCCTGATGGGATATTGTGAGGAGAAGCTTGGGGAGTGTGTGCTGCAGCTTTGGAATGGCTGCACATCCAGGAAGTTCAGAATGTGCTTTGGATTGAAATTCAATCTGAAAATAAGCAAAGAAGCATCCCCTGATGGGACAGCAATAAACCAAGAGTGTATTTCATACTTTTAACAAGCTTTTTTTTTTTTCCCTTCCAGCATTTTAAATTTACCCCACCAAGCTTCTCCCGTGTCAAGAACCCCAAGCCTTCCTGCTGTGGACACCAGCTACATCAACACATCACTCATCCAGGACTACAGGCATCCATTCCACATGACACCCATGCCTTACGACCTGCAAGGTGAGTTCTGGCTGCACCTGCAGGCACTCCTTTGATGATACAATAAAAATAATGAGGGTAATATCTCTGGTAGCAAAGAGAATTTGGAGTGTCATCAGTGTTTGGCTGGTTTGATTTCAAAATAAGTGGTGGAAAAATGGACAGGGGGTGTTTTGAGAAGCTGAATTTTGGTTTTTTTTTGTCTCTTGACAGGTTTAGATTTCTTCCCTTTCCTGTCAGGTGACAATCAGGTAAGTCAGGGAGAACCAAATGTTGTGGCAAACACTTTTCCCAGTGGGATTTGCTGTGTGGGAAGCAGCAGCATCATTATGTGAACACAGGTGTGGGATGAGGCACAGCAAAAATAAATATTTGGGAGTTTTAAAATGTTAAACTCAGCAGCCACTTCATTGTGGAAGGAAGGTGCAGCTTGAACCCTTTTCCTCCAAAAAAAGGGAGCTGGGATGTCTCCCTGCCCTTTCTGCCCTCCCAAGGAGGGAAATTGCACTAAAATTGCCCTAAAAACTGAGGGAGGCTTTGATATCCTCATGGAGAGCAGAGCCTGGACTGGGAATTTGGTCAGGAAATCTGCCTGAATATCCAGGATCTGAGAATGATTCTGATCCAAGAAATGCTGCTCTGGTTGTGGAGAAATCTTTGGGAACAGGGCTGGGACAGCCTGGATCTTCAGTCATGGTGGGAAGGAACGCTGAGAGCAGAGTTCCCCTCGGGGAGGTTGGGTTTCAATGGGATTTTTGGCTGCTCAAGCTCCTGCCCTTTGGGGCTGCAGCAGAGAGGAGAACCTGGGACAGTCCCTGCTCCACCAAGCTGGCCCTAAAAGCATTTCCCAGGATTGTGCCAGCAGGGATCAGCACAGCTCCACTCTCAGCTGGGCTCACCCTGGCTTCTGGGGGCTGGCAGAATGGATTGGGGAGAATTTCACCCCCAAGGAATTTTTTGAACAGCTAAAAAAAAAAAAAAAAAAAAGCCCCAAAAGTGCTGCTGCTTGCCCCTTATCCTGGTTTGGGTGCTCTGATCCCATTCCTGCTTGCCCTTTCCCAGGATTGGGTGCTGTGATCCCATTTCTGCCTGCCCTTTTTCCTGGTGTGGGCTCTCTAATCCCATTCCTGCTTGCCCTTTCCCTGCTTTGGCTCTCTGATCCCATTCCTCCTTGCCCTTTCCCTGTTTTGGGCTCTGATCCCATTCCTGCTTGCCCTTTCCCTGTTTTGGGCTCTGATCCATTCCCTCCCTGCTGCTCTGTGGGCTTTTCCTTTACAAACCGTGTTTGTGACCCCAGCATCCCCAATTCCTCTCGTCTTCAAAACCGGGGGAACCACAGAGCCAAAAATCCATTTCACCTCCCTGCACCTGATCTGCCGTGAAACCCAAAACTCCCCAAACCTCCTCTTGACAAAACCTTTTCCCCCCCGAATTTTAACCCTTTCTCTGCCGCCAGCATTACAACACCTCCCTCCTCGCCGCCGCCGCCGCCGCCGTGTCCGCCTCGGACGATCAGGAACTTTTACACTCCCGCTTTTTCCCTTACACCTCGTCCCAAATGTTCCTGGATCAGCTGAGCGCCGGGGGGAGCAGCTCCCTGCCGGCCACCAACGGCAGCAGCAGTGGCAGCAACAGCAGCCTGGTGTCCTCCAACAGCCTGAGGGACAACCACGGGCACCCCGTGGCCAGCAGGAGCAGCACGGACACGGCCTCAATCTTTGGTATCATACCAGATATTATCTCCTTGGACTGATTCATTTCTAGGTTTTTTTTTGGTTTTTTTTTTGGGGGGGTGGGTTTTGGGGGTTTGGGGTGGGGGGACAGAGGAAATCTTCGTGCTCGGTTTTCCTTTCTGTTCGGAGAAGAGAAAAAAAAAAAGAGTTAAGTCAAGGGGGTTTTTTTTTCCTTTTTTTAAAAAAGGGGAAAAAAAAATTTATGTGTACAGAGAACAAAAAAAAAAAAAGTCTATTTTCAGTTTTACTTTTGTATATAAACCTAAGATGGCCTCGCTGGTAAAAATAAGAAAAAAAAAAAGACAAAAGAGAAAAAAAATTAAGAAAAACAAGGAGCTTCAGTTGATTTTTATGGATGCTGAAGATTTTACACCTGTGCATTTGTCATGTGAGTTTCTTTTCTTTTCTTTTTTCCCCCCCTGTAGTTTGGACACCAATGGCATTATTTTCTCCACTGTTAAAGAAACAGGAGAGGAGCTGAACTTCTAAAGTTCAAGCTTGGGGAAGAGGGTTTTTTCTCCTCTTGGAGACATTTCCCTTGGCTGGTGGAATCTAATTCCCCCATCCCATGTTTAGTGCAGATTTTATAATTGTGGCAGCAGAGCACACCCTGCTCTGTCTGCAGCCCAGAGCCTTCCAGGAGTGGGGTTGGTTTTTTGGGATTTTTTTGGCATTTCTGGTTCTGTGAGCCTCTCTACCCAAATTCTCCTTTTCGATTCCATGCTTTAGTCAGGAATGTTGCAAATTCATCCAGGGAATGACACAAAACTGACTGGGAGGTTTAGGTTGGATTTCAGGGAAAACTCCACCTCCAGAGGCTGTGGGGCACTGCCCAGGCCCCCCAGGGAATGCTGACATTCCCAAGGCTGCCAGAGCTCCAGGAATGTTGGGACAAAGCTCCCAGGGATGCACAGGGAGATCCCTGTGCAAGGACTTGGATCCTCGTGGGTCCCTCCCAACTCAGAATATTCCACATTTTTGGGATTCAGTTACTCCTGAGGGCCTGACCCCATCAAATCCCAGCTGAGGAATGACTTGTGGGACAAGATGTTCCATTTTTGTGGAGCCCCAAGTCAACATCAAATCCCAGCTGAGCAACGACCCGTGGGACAAGATGTTCCATTTTTGTGGAATGGAGCCCCAGATCAACATCAAATCCCAGCTGAGCAATGACCCGTGGGACAAGATGTTCCATTTTTGTGGAATGGAGCCCCAGATCAACATCAAATCCCAGCTGAGCAACGACCCGTGGGACAAGATGTTCCATTTTTGTGGAGTGAAGCCCCAGATCCCAGCTGAGGAATGACCTGTGGGACAAGATGTTCCATTTTTGTGGAGTGAAGCCCCAGATCCCAGCTGAGGAATGACCTGTGGGACAAGATGTTCCATTTTTATGGAATGAAGGCCCAGGTCCCACCTGAGGAATGATCTGTGGCACGAGCAGTTCCATTTTTATGGATGAAACCCCAGGTCCCACCTGAGGAGTGATCTGCAGCACAAGAACTCCCATTTTTTTGGAGTGGAGCCCCATGTCCCACCTGAGGAGTGATCTGTGGCACGAGATGTTCCATTTTTGTGGAGTGGAGCCCCAAATCAACACCAAATCCCAGCTGAGGAATGACTTGTTGAGGAATTCATTGAGGAAATGAATTTGATTTGGACAAGATGTTCCCTTTTTATGGAGTGGAGCCCTATGTCCCACCTGAGGAGTGATCTGTGGCACGAGAAGTTCCATTTTTATGGAATGAAGGCCCAGGTCCCACCTGAGGAGTGATCTGCAGCACAAGAAGTCCCATTTTTTTTTGGAGTGGAGCCCCAGAGCAGCGCCTCGCTGGGCCTGGAGGCTTTTGCTGCTCAGAGCTTCAGTCCTGCTCAGACAACCTGAGCTGTTCCCAGCCGTGTGTCATTGTCACCTGGTGGGGCTGCCCTGTTCCTCCCCATCCTGCTCTTTCAGTGGCTTCCAAAATTCACTTTTCCCTTGGAGTTCTTTGGATTCCCCGGATTTGATTCCTGGTTTCTTTTCTCATTGTTTTTTAAGTTGTGCATGACATAGGAAATTTTTTTTTTTTTTTTTTTTTTTTTTTTTTTTTGGGTCATTTGGGCTGATCCGTTCTTCTTAAGGAGTGGAATGTGTAAATAGCTGGAATGCAGATTTTTTTCAGGAGATTCTTTAAAGTCAGAGAAAGGGGGAGGGAAGGAAGTGATTCTCTTGTGTCCCAAAGTCCATGTCAGAGAGAGTAAATATTTCCTCTGGTGTGAAAAATATTTTTATAACTGGTTGAAAGTGCAGGTATTGAGTTTATCAGGAAAAAGAGAGTTAAGGAATACTAAAATTAGCAGATTCTTGTCTGAATTTTTTTCATGTCCAAAAAAACTGTTGATTGCAAATAGTTGCTTCAAGCATTGACAAGGGCCACCTTTTGCCTATGAAGTCGTCTCAAAAAAAAAAAAAAAAAAAATATAAATCTTGCATTGATTAAAAAAAAAGGAAAAAAAACAGTAAAAAATTTTAAAAAAAACTGAGAAAAAAAGCAAAAAAAAAAAATCTTTAATCCAAGTAGCATTAGGTATTGCTGTCTGATCAGTTGTATGGTTATTTGAAAGGTTCACATGATGTGGCATCAAAAATTGTTTTTAGTGTTTTTACAGCATCCCTCTGCCACTAAATAGTTGACTTGAATTTTGGAAAAAGGAAACTGTTGGTGTTTATATGTATATGTGTGTGTATATATGTATTTATAGATCCGTGTGTGTGAGTTCCAGGTGAGTTCAATAGTTTTTTCCCATGCATGTGTATTTCATACATATCTGGCTGATATATTCTATTTCACCATACACCGATTTTATAATTTATTAAATGTCAGTTAAAAAAAGAAAAAAAAAAAAAGAAATAAAAGGATAGAAAATGGGAAAGACTTATTTTTGAAACGGTCTGATTTTGAAGTGATTCAACCTCTGCTAGGAATGTCTCTTACCCAGTTTAGGAGAAGATTTTTTGTGGATAAGCTGGAGGATTTTTCTGGAATTGGGGATGTGAGTGCCGTGGTTTGCCTGGAGCCTGCGTGTCCCAGCTCCTGGAGCATCCAGCAGGAATTGGGGACTGCTTACAGCTCCTTTCCCTCCTTGCATGGAGCCTGAGAAGGGTGAGCCCAGGAGCAGCAGGATCAGAACCCCATCCATGCCCTGGAGATGGAACTTGGCAGTGCTGCTGTCCTGGATTTGGAACCTTGGGAACGGCAGCTCGGCTTGGTGCTCCCATTCCCTGTGGTCCTGCTGGGAGAAAGGCTCCAGGTCCAAAACCCTGACAGTGCCATGGGAAATGGGACGTGGTGGCATCCTGGGATTTGGGAATGGCAGCTCGGCTTGGTGCTCCCATTCCCTGTGGTCCTGCTGGGAGAAAGGCTCCAGGTCCAAAACCCTGACAGTGCCATGGGAAATGCCTGGGATTTGGCACTTTGGGATAGGCAGCAGCATTCCCTGTCCCTGTGATCCCACTGGGAGGAAAGCTCCCTGTTAATCCCGTGGGAAATGGGACGTGGTGGTGGTGGTATCCTGGGATTTGGGAATGGCAGCTCGGCTTGGTGCTCCCATTCCTGTGATCCCACTGTGGGGAAGGCTCCAGGTTCAGGGCTGGCATTTGTGACCTGTGCCCTGCAGCCCTGCGGGATCCATGGCCCGGGATCATTCCCGTTCCACACTCCAGCATTCCCGAGGCTGGAATTCCTCTGTGCCTGCAAGCCCAAGTGAGCCCTGCTTGGTGCTCTGCTTCTCCCCATTCCCTGCCACAGTCATTCCCAAAGAACTCCTAAATTCCCAGATAACTCCCAGCCTCTGGCTCTGTGGTCTCCAGCTCTCCAGTGGGGGCCTGGGCCGTGCTCCTGGGAATTGTGGGTGGGATTGTCCTCGGGGTGTGCCACGGGAGGAGCCAGGTGAGCACAGCCATGGCTGGGGGGGTTCCACACATCTGGGCAGTGCCTGGGATGTGCACATCTGCCTGGGGGATGTGCACGGGTTTGGGATGTGGCACATGGCTGGGATGTGCACACATCTGGGATGTGTTCACGTGTTTGGCATGTGCACAGATGTGTGGGGGTGCACACGGCTCTGATCTTCACACACCTGGGATGTGCACACACACCTGGGATGTGCACACACACCTGGGATGTGCACACACCTGTGGGATGTGCACACACATCTGGGATGTGCAGACACACCTGGGATGTGCACACACATCTGGGATGTGCACACACACATCTGGGATGTGCACACACACCTGGGATGTGCACACACACATCTGGGATGTGCACACACATCTGGGATGTGCACACACACCTGGGATGTGCAGCCACCTGTGGCACATGCACACACGTGTGTGGGACGTGCACAGGAGTGCCTGGGGTGTGCACTGACCTGTGGGATGGGCACGTGTGTGTGTGGGGGACATCCACACGTGTTTGGGGTGTGCACACACGTCACACCCACACACTGGGATGTGCACGTGTCCCACACACATTCACACATTTGGGATGTGCACACACGTGTCACACTCTCACACTCACACCTGGGATGTGCACATGTGTCACACACACGTGTCACACACACAACACTCATGTTTGTGATGTGCACACGTGTCCCTGCAGCAGGAGCAGGGACAAGGAGCTGCAGCTGCCTGGGAGCCCCTGTGCCATCCTTCAGGAGCTGGAAATTCCCCCTGAGCCATCCCAGAACCGCCCCTGCAGAGGGATGGAACAGAAATTCCCTTTCCCCTCCCTGGAGGATCCCACAGGTGGGGAGGTCCGAGAGTTCCTTGGATTCTGCAGGAGCTGCAGAGCCCAGGAGTCTGAGGAGAACGTTGGTCCGAGAGTTCCTTGGATTCTGCAGAGCCCAGGAGTCTGAGGAGAACGTGGTGAAAATTCATTCTTTTTGCAGTTGAGCATTTCAGGGTTTGAAGCCCGTTTTAGTGGGGAAGGTTTTGGTTTAGCAGTGTGATTTTTATTTTATTTTTTTTAAACAGAACTTAGATTTCTAACGAGGGAAACTCACTGGTGGTCCCCGAAAGTGCTGCTGTTCGTGAATTAACAAAGGGGAAAAAATGTAAATAAGGACAACATGAAAATGGCCATGAATTCCATGAATGGAAAGCTCTCATCCATTGCCTTAACCCTTTTCTCTTCGTTTTCCTTAGGGCATGCCAAACCAATCCATGGATTTACAAATGTACAGTAGCCCAATGTCAGTTTGTGTAAAAGTACCGAGTGAAAATATTTATTATATGCATTG